TGTTACAAGACACATGTTACAAGACACATGCTACAAAACACATGCTGCAAAACACATGTTACAAGACACATGTTGCAAGACACATGTTACAAGACACATGTTACAAGACACATGTTACAAGACACATGTTACAAGACACATGTTATAAGACACATGTTATAAGACACATGTTACAAGACACATATTACAAAACACATGTTACAAGACACATGTTACAAGACACATGTTACAAGACACATGTTATAAGACACATGTTATAAGACACATGTTACAAGACACATATTACAAAACACATGCTACAAGACACATTTACAAGACACATGCTACAAGACACAGAAATCAGACAAAATCACACCGTAATACAAAATCATAAATGTATCACTACTATACAAAAACCATTATCCTCATAATTTACACATACTACATATACAGTTCCCATACTACGCAGCATCTAGCAAAACATCTCCCACATACAAAACAGTCAAACACGACCAAACTTAACATACAACCGCGCATACATATAGGCCGGAATGTCGCACACATAAACATACAGCCAAACATTTTTTTATGACATACAAAAAAAAAATTCTTTTCATAAGTCTGAAAAAAAAAATCTAATGCGCCCGAGCAGCCAAAGAGGCCAAACTGGTTTTATGCGTTTTATTTTTGTCAATAGACCGGGTTATACATGGGAAGGGGAGGTAAACACGGCTTAGTATTCACTTACGAAGAATGGGAATAATTATCTATTTAGAGGGAGAAAGACTTTTTTAAAAACTGGTTATAAAAAATGCAATTTTTAAAATAGAAACATATGGTTAAAGAATATTTTCGTTTGTTATTGATTTTGGATTATAAACAGTTATTAGTCATGTTTAATAAACTATAGTGAAGAAATATTTGTGAGTAAAATGAAGAATAAAATCATCATTTCTCATTAATCTGGCGTTGCTGTATCTCAACTTACCTCACATCCCAAATAACAAGAAAAAATAAATAATTAAATAAAATAACATTCCAGCTGCTTATAATATTTGAAATATTTTATTAACCCCATCAATCCACCACGCCAATGAAAAAAAAAATCATAGAATCACCATTTAATAACACATTTGCATTTTCAGGTGTAAAAATAAAATTGTAATTAGACGTTTTGAATTAGATCTATGTATAAGTAAACCATCTTACATGAAGGAAAGTAGGCTACATGTAAGACATGTAAATCTTTATCAGCCCTCACAAGCCGATGATGAAAATTGTAACCAAAGCGAACATACAAGGCAAACTGACGCTGTAAATTACAAGTCTGAGGCGAAAAAATAAATTACTCTCTTCTCCCGAATTCTAATCTTTAATTTCCACATTTGGAGATCGCGCATAACCTGTGTAATATGTGCACATCTTTAGAGTGAAAGAGATAGCTATCAGGGGTGTAGCGAGGGGGGTACATTTGCCCCCGGGCGCCGACCTTAGGAGGCGCCAAAATGGGTTGTAAAAACAAATTAAAATCTCATTTTAGCTGCAGTTTTGCATTATAAATGTAAAAAACATATGGGGGGGGGGGGGTGCAAATTGAAAATTGAAAGGTTGTTCCCGAGGGGGGCGCCAAAATTGAAAGTTTGTCCCCGGGCGCCGAGAAGGGTCGCTACGCCTCTAGTCGGAGTCAACAGCCTATATAGCCCATAACATGCTGACACGTAATTCTTAATTGTGTTGGAGGAAATCCATTCCAATATTACAGTTAAGATCGTAGAAGAAGAGAACACCACAAATATTGAGAGATTTCAGCCTGCTTTACTTTCTAGATTTGCTTCCATAGCCTTTGTCCATCCAAGAAATAAACTACAAAGCAGCTGTTGTTTGATTTTGGAGTTGTCTCTTAGCTGGGTTGCTGTCCACAGTTTACGAGCCTCAACTGCGCGCACACCGATATGAATTACTAGGAAAATATAAGACATTTCAAATAATTCTACGCGTTTTCAGGCGAGAGCGGTTGAGTATGGCGATGTGACGGTTACGTTTTTGTAACAAGTTCACCAGACTTTTCTTTATGAATGGCCTTCAATGCTATTGCGACACAATTTCATCTCTAATGTCAGTTAGAAGCTAAGCGGTCACTGACCACTGCACAAGTCAATGTCGTGTACAGAATTAAAGGAACAAATCAAGATAAACTTCAGCAGATCAGAACATACAGTAACAAACTCAAATGGATAATTTAACATAAAAACCACAAAAGTCCAGTCTTAGACAGAAAGAGGACATCAGCAAATACAGACACCATAATTACGTTAGAAGATGGTTGGGTCACATCGACGAGATAACAAACGAAGGAGACAATGAGAACACACGATGGACAAACAAAAGATGTAATTAAAGACACAGAAACTGGCTGAAAAACAGAGACCGGTCCAACTACCGAAAGACGAATGAGCTAATACAGAAACCACAAAAACGTTAAAAAATGAAACTGCATTCTCGACCAAAATGAATATTTCGAAGCGACAACCACATCCCACAATCCAAAGTTGTTGTAAAGACACATCAACACAATCACAGATTTAAAAATACCACAGGAAATGGCAATATAGATAATAAAAACCAGAAAAATAGAAAATACTTTCGTGGTTAAAAATAAGTTATAAAAGAAAAACACACATTTTGTAATCGTATTAACAATACTTTCGAAAGAAATTATAACATTAGACAATTTTAAAATGCTATGAAATTTTGTGCAAACATATGCTTGAAATATTGTTTTCAAACATAAATTAACCAAAGCGCCACATCAGACGTAACGACTCCACTCTAAGTGTAGACAAAATAAGTGCTCTAATCAAGTACCGTGTTTAACTGTTTCAGTGCTAAACGTTTAACTGTTTGAGTGCTAAATGTTTAGCTGTTTCAGTGCTAAATGTTGAACTGTTTCAGTGCTAAATGTTGAACTGTTTCAGTGCTAAATGTTTAACTGTTTCAGTGCTAAATGTTTAACTGTTTCAGTGCTAAATGTTAACTGTTTCAGTGCTAAATGTTAACTGTTTCAGTGCTAAATCTCGAACTGTTTCTATGTACTGTTTCAGTGCTGAATGTTTAACTGTTTCAGTGCTAAATGTTTAACTGTTTCTATGTACTGTTTCAGTGCTAAATGTTTAACGGTTTCAGTGCTAAATGTTAACTGTTTCAGTGCTAAATGTTTAACTGTTTCAGTGCTAAATGTTAACTGTTTCAGTGCTAAATGTTAACTGTTTCAGTGCTAAATGTTTAACTGTTTCAGTGCTAAATGTTAACTGTTTCAGTGCTAAATGTTTAACTGTTTCTATGTACTGTTTCAGTGCTAAATGTTTAACGGTTTCAGTGTTAAATGTTAACTGTTTCAGTGCTAAATGTTTAACTGTTTCAGTGCTAAATGTTAACTGTTTCAGTGCTAAATGTTAACTGTTTCAGTGCTAAATGTTTAACTGTTTCTATGTACTGTTTCAGTGCTAAATGTTTAACTGTTTCAGTGCTAAATGTTAACTGTTTCAGTGCTAAATGTTAACTGTTTCTGTGCTAAATGTTTAACTGTTTCTAAATACTGTGAAGTGCCCAATTACTACGTTTGATATTGCAATCTATAATTTATCAGCTTTTTCGAGAACTGTTTCAATGTTTAAACTTACACTTGTTTCAATGTGCTGTATGCGTGCAAATTATAATGTCTGTTGTTTCAATGAATGACTTATTAACTGATTCTAGGGTGGTTTCAGTGCTAAAAATTTCACTTGTTTCAATGTGCTGTTTAAGTGCTCATTCTTATATCTGCTGTTTTAATGGATACTTTATCAAGCATTTCTGTGCTTTAAGTTTCAGTAGTTTCAATGTCTGTTATTTCAATGCACAGTTTATATGTACTGCTTCAATGCCCATCTGATACAATAGGTCATTGACCTTAAACAACTACTGTAAGTTGCCGTTGTGTAAAGAAAAGAAGTGGAGCGATGTATGACAAAGTTTAATGTATGTTACGAAGTTGTTTTTTAATAGATAACCATAATAAGGATAACTAAATATGCTTAACAATGCGACTGTAGATCAATTGTGGTGATAAATCCTCAAGACAGAAACTAATTGTCTGGATATCTTAGAAGAATATGTGAGGCGGGTAGCATGTGGAAAAGAATGGAGCAGGGGCGAATCTAAAAGAAAAGGGGGCTGAGACCCCCCCCCCCCACACGAGGCAAAAAAAAATACACAAAAGGATTTCGAACAATATGTATAGCCAGGTGGTAGGCTTAGGTGTGAAGTCATTTTATGGGAGGGGGTGTTGCACTGTGTGACAATGGGAGTGGGAGAGGCGAACTCGTTTTTAAAAAACCAATGTGGATCGTGATTAAAAGCTCTGTTTTAAATAAACTGAGCAAGACCAAATGTTTCCAACTGTAAAAATATGTTAACTGTGTAACAATATGTTCACTTACTATATAGCGTGTGTAATACTTTGCTTACATACGAGAGTAATAATATGCTTTCATATTACATGGCGTGTGTAATAATACACTTACATACTATATTGCTGTGTAATAATAAGTTTACACACTATGTAGTGTATGTAATAATAATATGCTACATGTAATGTGCTGACTGTGTAATCTTATGCTTACATAACATGCTAAACGTAATGTGACATAGGCATAAATTATTTATTTTAGTAAATTTAATAAGCTAAAATAATATATTGACTTTGTGTTATGATTACATCGTATAAGCTAGACAAAATATAATACTTCATATATATATATATATATATATATATATATATATATATATATATATATATATGTATATATAGTTATAATCGCGTTACGTTAAAGAAAAACGATTTAAAACTACATTTTGCTAAGTATAACAGAAGAACAAGTATATGCAAGATATATTGATACACTAGGTATATAATTATAATGTTATGATTCTATGTCTCTCGAGTGTTTGAGAGTGAGGCAATGAGAAAATGTATGACTTACCAATGGGGCAGGTAAACAGTAGTCCAATCAAGTCTGGCAGGTGTGTAGCGGGGAGCCAGATAAAACACTGCTATGATTCAAATAGCACGCCGGCTGTTTTATCAATACTGAGCAAGTCTGTGTTGAGCTGCAAGTTTTGGCTACTGAAACACGCCAGCGTTTTTTAGGTAATTTGCGGTGTGGGGTCGTTGGTTTTAGGTCAACATGGTATTTGTTTATCATGTTTTGGGGATTATAATGTCCTGATGATTATAATGTCATGAGAAATATAGTGTCCTGTGGTTTATAATGTCCTGATGATTATAATGTCCTGGTGATTATAATTTCCTGGTGATTATAATGTACTGATGATTATAATGTTCTGGTGATTATAATGTTCTGGTGATTATAATGTCCTGGTGATTATAATGTCCTGAGGTTTATAATGTCCTGAGGTTTAGAAAAAGTTTATAGAGTCCTGGGGATTATGTAAACATGGTTTATTCTGCACAAAATCCTATTGCCCAACGGGTTTATTTTAAAGCTTTACTTAAAGTTGTTGCACTGAATGGAGGCTTTATTTATAGGAGGTTTTGACTTAATGGAAGATACTTTTAATGAAGCTTTTCTTACAAAATAAACCGATCTTAGGGGTCTACCGTGATTTTTCCCGGTAGACCGCTGGGTCAGTTCACCCCTGTCCACCACTACCGCAAATAACGTTACATGGATTTTTATTTTTTTACAGATATGCCGACAGAAACGCAGAGGACTTAGAAATAGTTTTCAAAATATTTTAATCTCGTTGTTCTAGACTAGGGGTCTCCAAACTACGGCCCGCGGGCCTGATGCGGCCCGCGAGGTCCTCTCATCCGGCCCGCGGGGATCTTGATGTCCATGAAAAAAATCAACTTTAGTTGGAGGTGGCTGAGGAACCTTTACGTCATGTTCATGCGAGATCAGCAAAGACACCCAGCTGCAGTTTCAGTAGTGGTTTTCTGACTTGGATTCAAAGGCAGAAGAAGTGAAACTGTTTCAAAATACATTTGAAGCAAATGTGCCCAGTTGGACTACAGCTGGAGGTCATATAATTGCAGGCAAATGACCTCCTTAGAGACAAGTTCAAAGAAGGGCGGGTGCGATTTTATAAGTTTTTGCTCAAGAAAGACCTTCCTAATATTTAAACTTTTACATTAAACTACCTTTCAAAGTTTGGAGCAACATACCTGTGTGAACAAACCTTTTCAAGAATAAAATAAGTGAAGAACAATTTGAGAACAAACTTTGACATTTTGTCGGCGCCGAGAGTGTTTATTTTTCAGTTTTTCAGACTTTTTTCTCCAAGAAAATTTGTATACATTTCTAAATAATTTATTTTTAGTCGGGGGCGGCGCTAGACGTTCTTCGGTGGGGGGAGGGGGGGGGGGGCGCTGCTACACCAAACAGATGCCTGGAAACTCTGGCCCCCGAGCAGATATTTGATAGTTAATGCGGCCCTCGGGCTGAAAAGTTTGGAGACCCCTGTAATCTAGACCAAATCATCAAATCAAATTAATATTACTCCACACCTCCAACCTATCATATAAAGTGCAAATAACAAAATCATAAACCAATCCCACAATCCTACTTAATCAATGATTGTACACGATTTCTAAAAATATATCTCAACCATCCTTTGCAACTATTAACAAACGATGAAAACCATACTTTTTAAATTCACGGATGTAGCAGTTGTGTTTTACCACACCTAGCAGCTGGGAGCCAAACGTGAGTCGTTGAAAAACTTGTCCGGCGGGTTTCCGAATGTGTCGCCCTTGTTATGTTACGGTCGCAGTGACAAAAGCTTCATGCACTTTTGGGGTAGTGGAGCCTTAAAACCGAAGCACTTGATGATCGTATGTTTAGCTGGGGGAATATGTGAAGTTTGAACACATTTTTTTTATAAGCGATCTGCGGTTAAACGGAGAAGCGATCACCCGGTCAATTACTGAACGTGGGCTCTATCTCACACAAACAACTGACATACTATATATATATATATATATAGCTATATATATATATATATATATATATATAGCTATATATATATATATATATATATATATATATATATATATATATATATATATATATATATATATATATATATATATATTATATATATATATATAATATATAGACCTATACATATATATATATCTGTATATATACATATATATGTCTGTATATATTCATATATATGTCTGTAATATATATATATATATATATATATATATATATATATATATATATATATATATATATATATATATATATATATATATACAGATGGTTCTGCTTTAAACGCGAAATCGAATTGAAATGAGAAAGATCAATTTTTTCTGCACGAATTTACTTATCTGACCTGACTTCACTTACTTGACTTCATCCTGTGGAACCCCTAAGAAGCCAAAAACTCCAGCCACTTCTCCACCGGACTCGGGGCATTTCTCTTCATCTGAGCCCATGTAATCCCCGCTGCCCTTGCTTCTCTTTCTACAGACCTTTTCCAGTATTGTTTACGTCTGTCCACCTTTTTCACCGCTGTTGGTTCCAGTCCAACGCTTGCTTATCTTATTTTACATTCTCTCCCCCCCCCCCCCCCAAGGCGTTGGCGATACATCCCTATTTGCTGGCAAATGTATAATAATTATACACTATTACTGTATATCCATGTGCATCAGCTGTTGTTTGGTGCATTCTTTTTTTCCCCACCATCATCTCCTTACTTAGACCGACAAGTCCAGCTTCGCCTTGTGTCTGACCTCTACACTTAGACCAGTGGTTCTCAACCTTTTTGGAGATACTGAACCCCACTAGTTTCATATGCGCATTTACCGAAACCTTCTTAATAGGTCTACTGTCTGCACTGAAACAATCCGATCGTGAATCATACGACATGGGTGTGTGTCTTGACCTTTGCCGAACCCCTGAGACTGATTCACCGAACCCCTGGGGTTCGATCGAACCCAGGTTAAGAACCACTACCTAGACATACCGAGGAGAGATACGGCTTTACAAATACCAGTGTTATCCATTGTTCAGATACCAAATCATAACCCTTAGTATTTGCTAACCATATATTGCGTGTGTTAACCATGAAATAACTTGTGGTTACCTAACCCTTACTTTTGGTCCCTACACTAACAATATACTGCGTATGTAACAATGTAATGATTTGCGGTTACCTAACCCTTACTTTAACCGGGTTATTGAATAAATACTTTGGATGGCAAAAAGAAAAAAAAACACTATTAAAAAAACAATGTTCTATGTTTTTTAACCAAGCTATATTCATTGTAATACACTAACGTCATACGTACGTTAATTAACATACATCTTTACCCAAAGACCTGTTGTTGTGAACACAACGACACGCTGTTACGTGTATTCAAGTGTGTCACACAACATATAAGATGAACAACAACAAACAGGTTAGAAAACACAAGACTTAAAAAAAACAAAGGCTGGTTACAATACTGAAATAAAATTTTAATACCACCTACACTATCTACTCAGAGCCTATTCTAAATACTAGTACAAATCAGTAAATGAAACTAAGATACAATGGGTGTAGAACTAAAGTACTAACCTACATTAACATGATAGATGTAAAGTACTGGATTGAGACAATCAAATACGTTATCACACACCTTTTCTAAAATAAAGGTCCCTTCCAAACCTGACGGTCTATAGGGCAAGTGAAGTAGAGTTCACTTGTTTCTGTGACCTCGGCATATGAAGGAATAGTGTAGTCAGCACTATGCCCAGCCGCCTTTACTTACCCTAAAGTCAGTTGGGTACCCATCAGAGTTGGGTGGACTCAGGGACATACTACTGACTTGAACCCGGATTCGAACTCAAGACTTAGGGGTTAGCAGTCCAGCTCCACACCTTTTATACCCTTACACAAACAAGTACAAACCGGACAATGACCACGTGATTAAAGACAGCTCACAACACGAGTGGTGAACTCTGGGGGCCGAGACGGATTTCACGTAAACATAACATTCACCGCTTTCAATACTTTCATCCCCTTCTCTCTTTCATTACACCTGTATCATGCCTTGGATAACCTATGGCCAGCAAGGGGGTATAAACCCTTGAATACAAAAATACACACGCTCGTCTAAATATTGGTTTGATTACCCAAATTTCAAAGTTAATATATTTAATTAGCCTAACGTTAACGATTTTCTAAAGAAAAAAAATTACAACTTGGTAGAAATGAAATTTGAATTTTTAAATATTAGTTGTAATATTATATTAAAAAATATGGAACATTGTTTTGTAAAGACATTGTAAAAATATGTCTTTGGATTAGATACAAATATGGTAGTGGTCCCCTTCCGCTCATGTTACTGTAGACTGGATTGTGGATTGATCAGAATACGGTGTGAGAAACTATCAGGTGCTGATTTGTTTATAAACAACAATAATTCATTAATGTTACTTTTTAAAACCTGACAATCCATTGTGCAAGTGAAGTAGAGTTCACCTGTCTCTGTGACCTCGGCATATGAAGGGATAGTGTTGTCAGCACTATGACCAACCGTTGTTACTTTCCCTAACCTGAGTCAGGTACCCATCAGAGTTGGGTGTACTTATTAAGGATGCCCTACGGACTCGAACCCGGGATCCGAACTCGAGACTTTAGGGTTGGCAATTGTACACTCTACACTCTACCATCTTACCACTCTGTCCCAAACTATCTTTCATAGTGTAATAAATCTCTACTTTAGAAACAACACGCGAATCACAACTGGAATAACAATTAAGACACTGTAAGATTTATTCAGCATCAGTTTATTATATAGCAACGTCTGTGTAGGTATAAAAAATATGAATGTGTTGGTATAAAAAATATGACTGTGTTGGTATAAAAATATGAATGTGTTGGTTATATATAAATATGAACATGGATGGGTAAAAAAGTATAAAACATCAATATATACATATGAAAGAATACAAATTGTGTATGTACATTAGTCTAAATTTAAAAAAAAAATAAAAAAAAAATTAAAATAATATTTTTTGGATTTTACCCTTCACATAGTGA